TGGGTGTGTGTGTGTGTGTTCCCGAGGGATGACCTTGCTCCATGACCACAGCTCAAGGTCGTCTCCAACACTAGTCATATAAACTTAATGTCTTGGGGGTCTATTGCCAACTCACTCACTCCCCCAGTAACACACACACAACATATTAATAACGTTAAGCGTTTGTATCTTCTGTAGTCTATTCCCTTCATGGTTCCGCTAGGTTAGGTTAGGTTAGGTATAGGTTAGGTTAGGTTAGGTTAGGTTAGGTATAGGTTAGGTCTAGGATAGGCTAAGTTAGGTTAAGTGAAGATAATAAACCTCCCACTCAAACATTCGAGCTCGAAAACACCGACAAGGAAAGATTTTTTGCAGGAACAGACCAGACCGTTTATCGCCGCACCAGCGTTAAAATCAACCCTCTCCTCCCACAGTAACACCCAGTCAGTCAATACAAACAGAGACACACTTCGTCAACTTACCAACAAAATATACAGAGAGAGAGAATGTTTAACCTCAGTTTATCATTATTACGACCATTATCCCAAACAGAGGTGGACACTTGCCTCACCTAGCTGAACACCACCCCATGAGTCTCTCTCTCTCTTTGACACACACACACACACACACACACACACACACACACACACCGTATCTTAACTCGAAAAGGCTTTGAAGAACACATAATATCTCAGCTCTAACCTTGACTTCTTTACCTCCATTGAATTCCCTACTAACCTCAACCCCCCCCCTATCTTGGTGTCCTCATTAGCCATCACAGTCCAGGGAGTCTAACCGAGTCCCACCGCCCTTAGCAACCAAGAACCAATCACCACCAAGAATTGTGATGGTTGCTAAGGACGCCGGAAAAAAGGGGGTGGTGGAATTTTAAGGTGTTAGGGAAAACTATTTACGGTATTCAGTCATTCAGTCAGTCAGTCACTTGGTCGCCCATATATATATAACGACTGAATTCCGTCCATCATTTTAATATTACTCGGCTATGGACATAAATACGTGATATGTTAACCAAAATAACTTGCCTTTTTTCCATTACAGTATAATACCACAGGTACGGAAATTAGTATATTTTTAATGACAGGTATTATCAGGGAACATTTGGCTGTCTGTCAACTCCTCGTAAATAAATATTTAATATTATCGAACCTGTTTCTTCTATTTTTTTTACGCTACTTAATAATAACTGAATGGACACAGATTATAAATCACATACAGTAATGTTACATACACACACAACTGGCCGAGATATCCCACTTATTCTTCAGGTAACAAGAATGACAAGTGAACTAATCGCTAAACACACACACACACACGCACACACACACACACACACACACACACACACACACACACTAATTGTAAAAACACTTGTTGAAAATTTTACTCGTAATTTTGAACTATAATATTTAACGTCACAACTAATGAGAAAAAAATTGAGATATATTTCGTTGAGTGAGTGTGTGTGTGTGTGTGTGTGTGTGTGTGTGTGTTAGTAGGGAACATTAGTCAGGTGTGCCGTGTATCATTAATGACTGTCAAACACCTCCATCACTTGTAGTCACACTCGGTATCACCTAACACCCACTTGTTCTCACACACACACACACACACACACACACACACACACACACACACACACACAAACACACAACACACAAACACAAACACACCCCAACCTTCAGGAAATAATGACGCGTCTAGTGTATTTACCAAGGTCATGACACCATATCAGGGAAACAATCGGGAGGAGGATAGTTAACCCTCAACAGGTGGCAGCGTGTGACCCCCTCCCCCCACCCTCCCCCGGGCCCCAAATTACGAGACCGCAACAACCAACACTCACGCATGTTATCATCAGAATTACGACGACTTACATGCTATCTGGTTTATCTATAAGTACACACATACACAATAATGAGAGATAAGAATATAGCAGAAATGAGAAGCAAAATGAATTCTTCCTCAATTTATATGTTTTACACAACCCAACTATCGATGAGAGAGAGAGAGAGAGAGAGAGAGAGAGAGAGAGAGAGAGAGAGAGAGAGAGAGACCATTTACCTCAAAAACAAGAAAAATTTAGACAATATTCTTTCAGGTAAATCGATAGATATACTGTCCCTCCCCTTAACTACTCTGTCTCCCTGCGTCGTCTCGGAGTCACCTGCGTCAGTGGTCGTACAGGTTATCGTTCCTCCGTCCGTCAGTACCGAGTGATTATCGGGTATTTACGTCAGCGGGTACTAGTTTATCTACATCTTAACTGACGTGTTATTTCTCACTGTGCTTCTGTCATCCCTGTCCACCGTCTACTATTTCCCTATCTCCGTCTAATATTTCCCTATCTACTGTCTATTCCCCTATATCTCGTCTACTGTCTCCCTATCTACTGTCTATTCCCCTATATCTCGTCTACTGTCTCCCTATCTACTGTCTATTCCCCTATATCTCGTCTACTGTCTCCCTATCTACTGTCTATTCCCCTATATCTCGTCTACTGTCTCCCTATCTACTGTCTATTCCCCTATATCTCGTCTACTGTCTCCCTATCTACTGTCTATTCCCCTATATCTCGTCTACTGTCTCCCTATCTACTGTCTATTCCCCTATATCTCGTCTACTGTCTCCCTATCTACTGTCTATTCCCCTATATCTCGTCTACTGTCTCCCTATCTACTCTCTATTTCCTTATATCCGTCTACTATTTCCCATCCCTATTAACCATTAAGCCACAGTAGAGAAAAATCATCAGCAAACACAAACAAATAAACACAGCAATGTAAACAAAGCGAGAGAGAGAGAGAGAGAGAGAGAGAGAGAGAGAGAGAGAGAGAGAGAGAGAGAGAGAGAGAGAGACGATCACTCCTCACAGGTAAACAACACAGGTGAGCATCTCATTCAATCAAACTTGTCAACAACACTACTCCATTACCTGGCTGTAGGAAGACCTGTTATAAATCACCAGCAGGTTACAGGTTACAGGTTATTTTTAACAAGTTCTGGGAGTTATACATCACTAACAGGTTACAAATTACAAGTTCTTCTACGTCTGGAAGTTATGTAAAGCAAATTAACAACAGGTTACAGTTTTTAACAAGTTCTGGACGTGTAAATTATAAAGAGGTTGGCAGGAGTAAGATTGTAAATGGGACCAGATCAAGTTCATCAAGGTGTTGTGGGTTAATTTTGGATCATTTTAATCCCTCGTCTTGCGTTTTCAGGTTGACATTATTCTGAAGAGGTCCTGGATGTTTTAATCAACCTTAACCAACCTGGGGTGAGAGATTCAGTACCACTAACTCCTGTTTTTGTGGCATTTACCTCACTATCACTACCATGAATGCCTCCAACTCCTGTTTTGATGACATTTACCTCACTATCACCACCATGAATGCCTCCAACTCCTGTTTTTGGTGGCATTTACCTCACTATCACCACCATGAATGCCTCCAACTCCTGTTTTTGGTGGCATTTACCTCACTATCACCACCATGAATGCCTCCAACTCCTGTTTTTGTGGCATTTACCTCACTATCACCACCATGAATGCCTCCAACTCATGTTTTTGTGGCATTTACCTCACTATCACCACCATGAATGCCTCCAACCCGTTTTTGTGGCATTTACCTCACTATCACCATCATGAATGCCTCCAACTCCTGTTTTGTGGCATTTACCTCTACTATCACCACCATGAATGCCCAACTCCTGTTTTTGTGGCATTTACTCAACTATCACCACCATGAATGCCTCCAACTCCTGTTTTTGTGGCATTTAATCACTATCACCACCATGAATGCCTCCAACTCCTGTTTTTGTGGCATTTACTCTATCACCACCATGAATGCCCAACTCCTGTTTTGTGGCATTTAATTCACCATGCATCCTATTTAATTTCACTATCACCACCATGAATGCCCAACTCCTGTTTTTGGGCATTTACTCATGAATGCTCCAACTCCTGTTTTGTGGCATTTACCTCACTATCACACCATGAATGCCTCCAACTCCTGTTTTGGTGGCATTTACCTCACTATCACCACCATGAATGCCTCCAACTCCTGTTTTGGGCCTCAACTCCTGTTTGTAGATTTCCTCTATCCTACAGATACCCAACTCCTGTTTTTGCATTTACCATCACCACCATGAATGCCTCCAACCTGTTTTTGTGGCATTTCATCACTCACCATGAATACCTCCAACTCCTGTTTTGTGGCATTTACCTCTATCACCACCATGAATGCCTCCAACTCCTGTTTTGTGGCATTTACCTCACTATCACCACCATGAATGCCTCCAACTCACCTGAATGTTTTTGCCCCTAACTCCTCAACTCTGTTTTTGTGGCATTACCTCACTATCACCAATGCCTCCAACTCCTGTTTTGTGGCATTTACCTCCTATCACCACCATGAACCTCCAACTCCTGTTTTTGTGGCTTTACCTCACTATCACCATATGCCTCCAACTCCTGTTTTTGTGGCATTTACCTCACTATCACCACCATGAATGCCTCAACTCCTGTTTTGTGGCATTGCACCCACTATCACCACCATGCCTCCAACTCTGTTTTTTGTGGCATTTACCTCACTATCACCACCATGAATGCCTCCAACTCCCTGTTTTTGTGGCATTTACCTCACTATCACCAATGAATGCCTCCAACTCCTGTTTTTGCATTCCTCACTATCACCAATGAATGCCTCCCAACTCCTGTTTTGTGGCATTTACCTCCTATCACCACCATGAATGCCTCCAACTCCTGTTTTGTGGCATTTACCTCCCTATCACCACCATGAATGCCTCCAACTCCTGTTTTGTTTTACCTCACTATCACCACCATGAATGCCTCCAACTCCTGTTTTTGTGGCATTTACCTCACTATCACCACCATGAATGCCTCCAACTCCTGTTTTTGTGGCATTTACCTCACTATCACCACCATGAATGCCTCCCTGGTTTGCATTGACCGATAAAGGTGTCAACAATACAAGACTTACGCCATCAGCTGCATCTCTCTCCTGCGGTCAACATTCGCAGCTGAAGACGACCATCGGACATCAACTAGCGAAACAAAGGGATGGCAGTTGGGTGACCGATTACAGCATCCATAACCCAACCTAACCTAACCTAACCTAAGCTAACCTAACCCAACCTAACCTAAGCTAAGATAACCTAACTAACTTAGAAGACCTGGTGTAACCTAACCCCGACCTACTGTAACCTAACCCAACCTAACCTAACCTAAGCTAACCTAACAACGCAAGACCTTTAACCTAACCCAACCTAACCTAACCTAAACTAACCTACCCATAACCTAGCTAAGATAACTACTAGCAGACCTATGTAACCTAACTCAAACCCACTAGCTTCCACTCGGCGTAACCTCAACCTAACCTAACCTAAGCTAACCTAGCAACCTAACCTAAGCTAAGATAACCTAACTAACTTGGCAAGACCTAGTGTAACCTAACCCAACCTAACCTAACCTAAATCATCATAACATAGCCTTCATTTGCGTTGCTTGGGAAGAAGAACAATATCAACAATAAAGAATGAAAGAAGAACAAGAATAACAACAAAGAATGGAAGAAGAACAACAAGAACAATAACAACAACTAAAAATCGATGCTAGGTAAAGATAAGGGTGAAAATGGCGTGACACCAACCAATTCATTAGCAGCTTCAGCATTCTCTCAAACACAACCACCAGGAAGTTGCGTTATTTTGCCTGTGCTGTATCTGATAACTGCATGGGTGATAACGGTGTGGCGGGGGTCAGGTGGTGGATGACTTATGGTAACTGCATGGGTGATAACGGTGTGGCGGGGGTCAGGTGGTGGATGACTTATGGTAACTGCATGGGTGATAACGGTGTGGCGAGGGTCAGGTGGTGGATGACTTATGGTAACTGCATGGGTGATAACGGTGTGGCGAGGGTCAGGTGGTGGATGACTTATGGTAACTGCATGGGTGATAACGGTGTGGCGAGGGTCAGTGGTGGATGACTTATGGTAACTGCATGGGTGATAACGGTGTGGCGGGGGTCAGGTGGTGGATGACTTATGGTAACTGCATGGGTGATAACGGTGTGGCGGGGTCAGGTGGTGGATGACTTAGTAACTGCATGGGTGATAACGGTGTGGCGAGGTCAGGTGGTGGATGATATGTAACTGCATGGGTGATAACGTGTGGCGGGGTCAGGTGGTGGATGACTTATAGTAACTGCATGGGTGATAACGGTGGCAGGGGTCAGGTGGTGGATGACTTATGGTAACTGCATGGTGATAACGGTGTGGCGGGGGCAGTGGTGGATGACTTATGGTAACTGCATGGGTGATAACGGTGTGGGTCAGGTGGTGGATGACTTATGTAACTGCATGGTGATAACGGTGTGGCGAGGTCAGGTGGTGGATGACTTATGATAACTGCATGGGTGATAACGGTGTGTGAGGGTCAGGTGGTGGATGACTTATGGTAACTGCATGGGTGATAACGGTATGGCGAGGGTCAGGTGGTGGATGACTTATGAGTAACTGCATGGGTGATAACGGTGTGGCGAGGGTCAGGTGGTGGATGACTTATGGTAACTGCATGGGTGATTACGGTGTGGCGAGGTCAGGTGGTGGATGACTTATGGTAACTGCATAGGTGATAACGGTGTGAGGTCAGGTGGTGGATGACTTATGAGAGCTGCATGGGTGATAACGGTGTGGCAGGGGTCAGGTGGTGGATGACTTATAATAACTGCATGGGTGATAACGGTGTGGCGAGGTCAGGTGGTGGATGACTTATGTAACTGCATGGGTGATAACGGTGTGGCGGGGGTCAGGTGGTGGATGACTTATAATAACTGCATGGGTGATAACGGTGTGGCGGGTCAGGTGGTGGATGACTTATAATACTGCATGGGTGATAACGGTGTGGCGGGGGTCAGGTGGTGGATGACTTATACGAGATAATTAAGGAAAGCTTTGTATGTCTATGTACAGGTAGAAGTAACAAAGGTGCTTCCTGTCTGTGCTTCTGTACAGTATATCCTCTTCCTCCCCCCGCTTATCGCGTTCTTCTTAATCACGTTTATCATGTTCTGGTCAAGGTGATTACCATATCCTGCTCTATATCCTGTTCATCACGTCTTTTTGTTTATCACGTCTCTGTGTTTATCACGTCTCTTTGTTTATCACGTTTCTTTGTTTATCACGTCTCTGTGTTTATCACGTCTCTGTGTTTATCACGTATCTGTGTTTATCACGTCTCTGTGTTTATCACGTCTTTTGTTTATCACGTCTTTTGTTTTATCACGTCTCTGTGTTTATCACGTCTTTTGTTTATCACGTCTCTGTGTTTATCGTCTCTGTGTTTATCACGTCTCTGTGCTTATCACGTCTCTGTGTTTATCACGTCTTTTGTTTATCACGTCTCTGTGTTTATCACGTCTCTGTGTTTATCACGTATCTGTGTTTATCACGTCTCTGTGTTTATCACGTCTTTTGTTTATCACGTCTTTTTGTTTTATCACGTCTCTGTGTTCATCACGTCTTTTGTTTATCACGTCTCTGTGTTTATCACGTCTCTGTGTTTATCACGTCTCTGTGCTTATCACGTCTCTGTGTTTATCACGTCTCTGTGCTTATCACGTCTCTGTGTTTATCACGTCTTTTTGTTTATCACGTCTTTTGTTTATCACGTCTCTGTGTTTATCACGTCTCTGTGTTTATCACGTCTCTGTGCTTATCACGTCTCTGTGTTTATCACGTCTCTGTGCTTATCGTCTCTGTGTTTGATCACGTCTTTTGTTTGTCACGTCTCTGTGTTTATCAGGCTGTGACATAGGCGATCCTTTATGATACCCTACTTATCAGAGGGGCAGAGTACTACAATAGCAGGTGTGGGGAACAATGGTACAGCTGATGGTGGCACCTGGTGAGGGGGAGAAAGGAAGAAAGGAAGAGAAAGAAGGAAGAGATGGAGAAGGAGAGAAAGGGAAGAGGAGAAGGAAGAAAGAAAGGAAGAGAGGGAGAGAAGGAAGAGATGGAAGAGAGAAAGAGAGAGAAGAAGGGGAGAGAAGGAAGAGGAGAAGAGAGGGAAGACAGGGAAGTGGGCAAGATAAGAAAGAGGGGAGAGAAAGAAGAGAGGGGTAAGAGAGGGAAGAAGAAGAAGAGAGGGAGAGAGGAAGAAGAGAAGAGGGGGAGTCAACACAGGTGTCTACGTGACTAAAAGTCCTCAAGGTCTCCACACACACACACACACACACACACACACACACACACACACACACACACACACACACACACACACACACACACACACACCACCAGTATTCACCCCAGGCCACCAGTGCCCTATCAATACTGGGTGTGCACCTAGGCAGGTATGTGTATGTATGTATGTATGTGTGTGTATGTATGTGTTTGATACTGATAAGGTCACGCCACACCCATCACTCCCCAACTAACCTTATGGACACTCACACACTACGCCACCACTAAATGACCTTCACCTTTGACCCCCCCTAAACACACAGGTAACTTCCATAACCATATAGGAAGATTCTGGTCACCACGACACACAAGAGGTAAATAACATGTTATTATATACAGTACAGTGACCAATACTATATCTGGCTACAGTGTTAACCCCCAAAACGTTAACCAGGATGATGATGATGATGATGATGATGATGATGATGATGATGATGTGGTGGTGGTGGTGGTGGTGGATGATGATGATAATGTGATGATGATGGTGATGATGGTGATGATGATGATGATGATCTGGTGGTGGTGGTGGTGGATGATGATGATAATGGTGATGATGTGTGATGATGATGATGATGTGTGGTGGGGTGGTGATGATATAATATGATGATGATGGTGATGATGGTGATGATATGAATCTTCAGTATCTCACCAGGAGGAATAAAGAGTCATAAGCTCCAGTGAACTTTGAAAGCTGGCGACAAAAACTGCTCCCGAGCGAGGGCCTGACATTTTGCTTATTACACACAGGCGTTAGTTACCTGCTCATAATACCACCTATTCTATCAGGTATCAGTTGATCTTTAACCTGTACGTAGACACCACCTTTATCCAGCTCAGAGGACGGAAGGGGGGGGGACACAAGGGGTTAATGTTGTAGATCTCATAAATGGTGCTTCATTCATCCCCCCTCCCCTGGGTAGCTGAAGCACTAAACTAAGCTCTCATAAAAAGTGCTTCACCCCACCCCCCTGGTAGCTGAAGCACTAAACCCTCGCTTCAGTTTTATAGCCCTGATGACTGGAAGACCAATCACCTCATGAACGGTACTTTAAAAACCTGACAGTGAATTGAAACGCGCAACCTTGAGGCCAAGTGAACTACGTATATGCTTTTAAAAATCCCAGCAGCCTTAACACTTCCAACACCTAGTAAATCTAAGTAAGTAAGTAAGTAAGTAATCAAGTAAGTAAGTAAGTAAGTAAGTAAGTGAGTGAGTGGTGGTGGTGGTGGTGGTGGGGGGGAGGATGAGTGAGTGGTGGAGTGAGTGAATGAGTAAGTAATTAAGAAAGTAAGTAAATAAGTAAGTAAGTAAGTAAGTAAGTAAGTAGACAAGGGAACTACTTAGTCTACAGTACAATTACAGGTAACTACAGGTACAGATATTGTTGAAAAGACAGGTAAAAAGCACAGGTGTTTATTACAGGTATACAGATCCAATCACGGGGTTGTGTATAAAACTAACTCTGACAAATTTTTAAAGGGAATAAATATGGCAACTTTCAACAAAATAAACAGACAGACAGACAAGCAGACAGACAAGCAGACAGACAGACAAGCAGACAGACAGACAGACAAGCAGACAGACTTAATAATCGCAACAAAGACACGACTGAAGATCAAATTACACACGTCAAATCACCTTGTTGCTAATACCATTAACCCAGTACCCCCTCCCCCTCCCTACCTCTCTCTCCCTCACCCTCTCTCCCTCACCCTCCCTACCTCTCTCCCTCACCCTCCCTACCTCTCTCCCTCACCCTCCCTCACCCTCCCCCTCACCCTCATGGTATCCAATGTATT